TCCTTTGCCTTTATTGAGAGGTCGGGCAAAATTAGGGGTCTACAGCTATCCCCCCTTCACCTACCTGCTTAATTTGTTGGCCTAATATGACAACAAAGTTAATTGGTAGGGGAAGGAGTTAACCCTTTTTGCCCGGTTGTCCTTCAGATGCTCCTTCGCTTGAAGTTTGCTAATCCTCCGGATGATAAATATTTTTGATAGGTACCAACCCCTATCTGGTTTGAGCCTTCTTTTATAAGGCTTTGGTGAGTACTTACCCTCACTAGGTATGAGTCTGCAGACCCTTGTGGGTATCTACCCCCACTAGGTATGAATATGCTTTTTGATGAGTACCTACCCTCATCTGGTGCGAACCCTATCTCATAAGGTTCTTGTGGGTACCTACCCCCACCTGGTCCGAACCTTGTTCTACAAGGCTCTGGTGAGTACCTACCCTCACCTGGTATGAACCCCATTCTGCAAGGTTCTTTATGGGTACTTACTTCCGAGGTGCTCAACAACTAAACTATCCTCTAATAAAAGTAAGGTTTTTGCAACCCATTTTTTGTAATGCTCTGGTGAGTATTTTACTCTACCTGATGCGAATCTGCATTTTTGCTAGATTCTGATGAGTACCTACCCTCATTCGGTACACCTTATTTTATAAGGCTCTGGTGGGTACCTACCCCCACCTGGTACGAATCTGCATTTTTGCTAGATTCTGATGAGTACCTACCCTCATCCGGTATAAACCTTATTTTGTAAGGCTCTGGTGGGTACCTACCCCCACCTGGTACGAACCCTGTTCTGCAAGGCTCTAATGAGTACCTACCCTCATCCGGTATAAACCGTATTTTATAAGGCTCTGGTGGGTACCTACCCCCACCTGGTACGAACCCCCACTACAAGAAAAAAGCCTATTACCTACGGAATATTACCTACGGATAAAAATCTGTAGGTAAATTTTACATTACCTACGGATTTTACCTATAAAAGTATATTCGTATATAAATTATCTATTACCTATGGAATTTACCTACGGATGAGATGATTATGCATTACCTACGGATGTAGGAGGTAGGTAATGTTTTTTTACTACTTTACCTACTCATTTACCTACGGATGTTAAATAAAAAAAAAAGAAAAAAAGAAAAAACCCTCACTCGCACCTGCATTTTCACACTTCCTTCGTCTCCCTCAATTTCACTAACCTCCTCTATAACCCGCCACCCACCTCCTTCACCAGAACCCTAGCTGCAGCCTCCCCACTCTCGAGCACCCCACACGGTATCCTCATTTGAACCCATATACCCGTCACCACCAGGCTTCTTCCCCGTCACCACCACAACCATACCCGTGCCCTAATTCCACCTTCACTCACCAAAGCTTCTCACCAACGCAGAGCCACCCCGCAGTCGCACCACATCTTAGCTTCTAGCCTCCAGATTCTCGCCCAATCACCCTCATCGGAACCACCACATCTCACGACCGCGGACCCCCCTTTTCGCAGAAACCCCATCTTCGCGGCCTCCACCACCATGTTCACAATGCACCGCCACTGTGAGGTCGTCGTCCCCTTCGTCGAGCCACCGCAAGGCCAAGTCGCAGTCGTGGCCTCACCCTAATCCAACCTCCACCAAAGCCCCTCGTCATCCACGACAACCACCACCATCGAGCGTCCCAACCCCCACTCCTCACCACTAACGTCTCCACTCTGCTCCACTTCCCTCCTGTGTTGAATCTCTCCCTTCGCCCCAAACCACCGCGCACCACTGCCCATAGCCGGCCACCGCGAACCCAACCACAAATCAACCTCCAGGTCAGCACGCCACCACACCCCCTGTCGCGCAGCATCCCTGCAGCCTGGAACTTGAGTCACCTCGACGCCGGCTGCGGTCACCGCCTCTCCTCGCTCCAGCCCACCCCCATTGTGCCACTGAGCTTGCTGTGAGCTAGAGGTGAGATATAGAGGCAGCGAGTTAAGCCTGGTATTATGCTTTAATCCTATTTCTTTCACATTTTTTGGAGTCTGAATTGTTATGCTTAGTTAACTATTAAGCCCGGGTCTAGTTTATTTGCATATGAATCATTGACACTACAAAAAAAAAGTTGATTATCTATGGATTATTATCTACGGATAAAAATCTGTAGGTAAAATATATATTACATACGGATATTATCTATGGAATTTTATCTGTATGTAAATTATCTATTATCTATGGAATTTACCTACGGATGAAATGATTATGCATTACCTACGGATATAGGAGGTAGGTAATGTTCTTTTACTACTTTACCTACTCATTTACCTACGGATGTGTAATTAAAAAAAAAAAAAAACCCCTCACTCGGATCCTCATTTTCACACTTCCTCCGCGCCTCACCCAACCTTCCAAACTCCTTCCTTCCTCTCCCTCAATTTCACTAACCTACATTATAACTCGTAGCCCACCTCCTTCACCAGAACCTTGATTGTAGCCTCGCCACTCTTAAGCACCCCACACGGTACCCTCATTTGAACCCATATACCCAACCCTATTCTCTGCACCACCGGGCTTCTTCCCCATCACCACCACAGCCATACCCGTGCCCTAATTCCACCTTCACTCACCAAAGCTTCTCACCAACGCAGAACCACCCCGCGGTCGCACCCCATCTCAGCTTTTTGCCTGCAGATTCTCGCCCAATCACCCTCACTGGAACCACCACGTCTCACGACCATGAACCCCCCCTTTCGCGGCCTCCACCACCATCTTCACGATGCACCGCCACTCTGAGGTCATCGTCCCCTTCGTTGAGCCATTGGTCGCACCTCCTAGCATTTGTTGCTAGCCACCGCGAGGCCAAGTCGCAGTCGCGACCTCACCCTAATCCAGCCACCACCAAAGCTCGTCGTCATCTGCGACAACCACCACCATCGAGCGTCCCAACCCCCACTCCTCACCACCAATGTCTCCACTCTGCTCCACTTCCCTCACCCCGTGTTGAATCTCTCCCTTTGCCCCAAACCACCGCGCATCACCGCCCATAGTGGGCCACCGCGAAACCCAGGCGCAGATTAACTTCCGAGTCACCACGCCACCACACCCCCGTCGCCCCCTATCACCAGCATCGTTGTAACCCAGAACGGGAATCACCTCGACACTGGCTGCAGTCACCACCTGCTGCAGTCATCGCTTCTCCTCGGTCCAGTCCACCCCCCATGGGGCCATTGAGTTTGTCGTGACCTAAAGGTGAGTCAGGGAGGCCACGGGTCAAGCCTAGTGTTTCATATTATTCTACTTAGATATGATTTCTTGCATGCTCTTTTCTCGATTCTGGACTGTTTTGTTTAATTTTGATGTGTTTTGGGTGGATTGAGTATTGATGGTTTCGTTTAGTTGATTTCTGTGTTGAGTGGGTTGGTCCATATTATTTTGAGGGTTTGAGTTGGGTTTTGTCTGATGTGTGTTGTTGTCTACACTTTGGTGAAAACATACAAATTTCTTTTCTTTTCTTTTCTTGGCCCTATCAAAATTGTGCATTGTGTTTAATGTGACTAATGGCATTGATTCTTTTTTTCTTCATTGTGTTCAACTTTACCGTGCATTGTGTAATTTCAGTTTCAATGTGTTAAAGCTCTTGTGGTATTGTTACCTTCATTCAAGAATGTTGATTTTCTTTTTCCATAATGTTCTTGACTTAATTGGTTGCTGCTTCAATGCACCTAAGAAAATCTGTTTTTGTTAGCTTTCTCTTGGAGATGCACGGGCGTACTTTCTGTCTACTCGCAAAGAATGAACTCGATGTTGTTTCTGCGAGAAAGCATTGCTTGGTGAGATTCTTTTCATATTTTGAGAATGGAACCCTCATAAGTGGTTGTGGTTGTAGTTTGTTGCTAATTCTCTATAGTTTATGTTAGTGACTTGTGTGACTTCTTGCTTGTTTAGTTTGTTGTATGTTACTCAAGTCCTGTTTATTGTGTGGCATTTGTGTTTGACAGAAGTTCCTCTAAGTCTGATACTTTCAAATTATCTATTATATCTTAGGATAGGTCAAGGATTGCTGAAATCCTATGATGCATGGATACGATACGACTATCAAATATGAAATACGATTAGTATCCGATACGACTATCAAATATGAAATACGATTAGTATCTGATACGATGATACATTAATTATAAGAAAAATAGAATAGGATATGTATAATATACGTATTTAAAGATATAAAAGAAATTCATGAAACATAATAACTATAAAGATATAATCATGCAAATCTAAATTCATGAATAACTATAATTCAGGAATCATGATGTGGGTAGATTTGATTTTATTATGGAAGACTTGTGATGATTTTAATTGGAATCTAAATTAACTATGAATAAAAGGAAATCACTAGAGATGATATTAAAAAAATTTAGATTCTACTTCAACTATAGTCTGGTGAATACAACTTTGATGTTTTTAGTTTTTAATTCATTTACTCATCAATTATGTCATCATGCTTTACATGCTCATTCTTGGATAATCTTATTTATGGCAAGCACTCGGAGTAGAATCAAATAATTACATTGTAAGTTGTACACATGCATGGGCTGAGCATCTATCAAGTAGGGATTTAAAACAATGCTTGGCAAATTGAAATGGATTACTTCATATAAGCGTATGACCTTATGTGGTCGTACATCGAGGAATATTGTTTTACATCTCAATTTGTCTTTTCCTAGAAAATACCCGATTGGCTGAAATGTATCTCAATTCTATCAAAACTGCACTGTGTTTTCTCGCAATTTATGGCGAGGGTATTCAACGTTGCTCAATCCATTATATTCCCTACATTATGCTACCTTCACATTTATTGCTCCCAATATTATTATGAAAGAGATCACACCAATCACACCAGCTTGAATTCAAGATATGTGGCTCTATTGAGTGTGAAATGAAAACACCTGGTTTTAGATACTTGTATTTTTTTTTTAATTATGTTCAATTGTTATTGTCAATGCTCTTAGCGAAGTAATGTAAAAGGAAAAATTGTAATTAGATCCCAACATCCCCACCACGCTCCACAGCCCCATGGCTCACATGGGCTTGCTGTGCTCTAAACACTACAATGCCTGCATCACCACCCCACTCCTCGGTTACAATTGAGAAACATTGTGGAAGGATTTGATACTAATTGATAAGCATCTTAGGGAAGCCACACTACAAAAGTTGGCTGCTATTATAGTTGAAGAGCCCAAAACCTTATGATCCCCACATTTTCCATACCTTGCAATTAGATCTTAACACATTATGTTTTTTTGTTAAATGGTTCATGATCTAATACCATGTTATGAATCATCTAATGACATATTAACTGGTTCATGAGCTTTTTAAAATGCAGAGATTGTTGATATTGAAGCTTCACAAAAGATAGAAGGATAAAGGGAAGGAAGTGGCTGCTCATCCAATTTCAAGATCTTTGTTAGTAGGTAAGTAATTACCTTTGACTTTTCTATATTGAATTTTAAATAATGATTGATTGGCTGGCTATGCATGCCATGTATTCAGTGAGGAATTGGGGGGTAGTAAATGTAACATGTAACATGGCTAGTGGAAGAATTGATTTGTTTGATTATTTTTTTCAATTTGTTTGCATTGATTCAGGATGAAGATGAGATTAGTTATTTAGTTATTCTAACCTTGTTGGCTACATGGAATGGCCTTCAAGTTATTATACTCGGTCATTACCAAACACTTGTCAAAATCTATTCTAAGTTGGTATTTTAATTAGTGTAACATTGAAGTTCATATTTTGTAGAACATGGATCAATTTCATGAAAATCGCCACTCGGATGTATGATCGAAGTCATAGTAAAAGAGGTGGTTTAAAACAAAGTTTTATTGATGGTGTTGAAGAGTTTGTCATGAAAGCTTCTCAACAAGTTTGTTATCAAAATGAAGTCCAAACGAGATGTCCATGCAATAAATGTCAATGTACAAAGATCTTGCCAATGGAAATGGTTACACTTCACCTTTATAAAAATGGTTTCATGCCCGATTATTATGTTTGGGTTGATCACGGTGAGCAAATGCCTCATGCTAACAAAAATTGGACACATGCTTCAAGTAGTGAGTTACATTTTTCAGAAGATGAGTCATTGATGGCAATGCAGGACATGGTGTATGACGCACTTAGGCAACATGAAACATTTCAACCATCAGAGCCAAATATCATGGAAGAGCCTCCAAATGAAGAAGCTCAAAGATTTTATGATTTGTTGTTGGAAGCGAATAAACCTTTGTTTGAAGGTGCTTTAGACTCTAAATTGTCCATATGTGTAAGATTGTTAGCTTGCAAATCTAATTGGCATGTTCCTGATCACGCTTTAAATTTCATTATAAAAATGCTTTTGGATGTAACACCCAACAAAGATAGTTTACCAAAAAGCTATTATGATGCGAAGAGGTTAGTTTCAATGTTGGGATTGGAGGCTAAAAGGATCGATTGTTGTGTTAATGGTTGTATGCTTTTTTATGATAATGCTTACGGGAAGAATGATGGAGCTTTACTACAATGTAAATTTTGTCATAAGCCTAGGTATCATGCCCCAAAACTTGAAACTCATAAAAATAAACCAATTCCGATTAAGAGCATGCTCTATTTACCTATAATTCCAAGGTTAAAGAGGTTGTATGCATCCATGCAAACGGATGGACAAATGACATGGCACTATGACAATAAAAGACCAGAAGGTGTGTTGTGTCATCCATCTGATGGTAAAGCTTGGAAACATTTTGATCAACTTTATCCAGATTTTGTTGCTGAACCATGTAATGTAAGACTAGGTCTATGTTCTGATGGATTTAATCCATATATTCAAGCATCTGCCACCCCATATTCTTGTTGGCCAGTAATTATGACCCCATATAATCTTCCTCCCGAAATATGTATGTCCGGACCTTATATGTTTTTGACATGCCTCATTCCCGGTCCACGTAATCCAAAGTCATGTATTGATGTGTATTTACAACCTTTGATAGATGATCTGAAGCAATTGTGGAGAGGAATTGAAACATACGATATTTCAAGGAAACAAAATTTTGTAATGAGGGCTAGTTTGATGTGGACTATTAATGATTTTCCTGCATATGGTATGTTATCAGGTTGGGGGACTCAAGGTAAACTAGCCTGCCCGCATTGCATGGGGGATACAAAGGCCTTTACATTGCAGAATGGGAGGAAAAATAGTTGGTTTGATTCACACCGTAGGTTCTTGCACAAAAATCATGTATTTAGAAGGAATAAAAAAGCTTTCAGAAAGGGGAAAACTGAAACTGGTGACCCACCATGTACATTGACATCTGAGCAAGTTTGGAGTATAATTATGGATGTACTCAAAGTCATAGATTACCCTCATATGAACAAGTTACCAGGCTATGGGGAATGGCATAATTGGACAAAAAGAAGTATATTTTGGGATTTGCCCTATTGGAAGGATAATTTATTGAGGCACAATCTTGATGTTATGCACAAAGAGAAAAATTTCTTTGACAATATATTCAACACTATCATGAATGTCAAAGGTAAGACAAAAGATAATGATAAGGCAAGGAAGGACCTAACTTTGTATTGTTGTAGACCAGATTTAGAGTTGAAGTTGTAGGCTAATGGGAAGATGGTAAAGCCAAAAGCAAATTATACTTTAACTGCAGAGGAAGCAAAGTTAGTTTATCATTGGATCAAGGAACTTAGAATGCCTGATGGTTATTCATCCAACTTAGCAAGATGTGTCGATGTAGACAAGGGAAGGATGCATGGGATGAAGAGCCACGATTGTCATATTTTTATGGAGTGTTTACTCCCTATTGCATTTAGTTCATTACCAGTGCATGCTTGGAACCCTCTTACTGAACTGAGCCATTTTTTTAAAGATTTGTGTTCTAGAACATTGAGGCATCATGACTTGGCTAAAATGGAAGAAAATATTCCAATAATTCTTTGTAAGTTGGAGAGAATATTTCCCCTGCATTCTTTGATTCAATGGAGCACTTACCTATTCATCTTGTGTATGAAGCCAAACTTGGTGGACCAGTTCAATATAGATGGATGTATCCATTTGAAAGGTAAGAAGACTATCATTGATTATGCACAAAATTTGATTTACTAAATATTGAGCTAATACCATCCTCATTTCATTGATTTTATAGATTCATGGGTAATTCTAAACGATCAATAAAAAATAAAGCTCGTGTTGAAGGATCAATTTGTGCCTCATACTTGCATCGAGAGACAACTCACTTTTGTTCCCATTATTTCAAGAACTTCATTCTATCACCACAGAATAAGAGAAATGAAATACAAGTTGAAATTGAAAGGGATCCATCAAGGTTATCTGTCTTTAATGTGCTTGGTCGTCACTCAGGAAAGACATCAATTCATTGGTTAACCCAAAAAGAGTGGAACTCGGCTCATGTTCATATCTTGATCAACTGTACTGAAATTAAGTCATACCTTGAGTGAGTATTTCAAACACTATATTTCATAATTATATCATTTTCTTATTTGATTAAATTGTTATCCATCCTTCTCCTATCTTTTGATAGTTCCTTCTTGCAATCTGGTCAACCCAATGACTCAAATGTGTCAAATCACATACATAGACATTTTCCTCAATGGTTTAAGTACCAATTATGTATGGTTACATTAATAACTTAGTTTATTACAATATGCTTAAGAACATATGACGGTACCTTCTTTGCATTTGTAGGTTCATAGTGAGTCTTTAAGTGTAACAAACATGCACTTAAGGGAGTTGTCGATTGGTCCTTTCACATGTGTCAATAAATGGCACACATACTTTGTCAATGGATACAAATTTCACACTCATGCTTGGACTTAGGGGAAAAAAACCATTAATAGTGGTGTACATGTAAAAGGCCTTACAGAAGGGGGTGAAGATGATTTTTATGGCATCATTCAACACATATATGAGTTGCAATATAATACTTCAACCTCCCCAAAGAAAGTGGTGGTATTTTATTGTGAATGGTTTGATCCATCACGTAGAGGTACATTAGTGGATCCTAAATATGGAACTGTAGACATTCGCATAGATAGAAGATATTTACCATTTGATCCTTTTATCTTGGCACATAATGTTAGACAAGTATATTATATCCCATATCCGAGATCAAGAAAGGACAAAGAAGGGTGGTATGTTGCTATAAAAACAAAGCCTAGAGGTCGCATAGAATCTCAAGACATGGAAGATGGTGTTCCTTACCAAATGGATGAAATGTCCCATGTAAATGAAGCTATTGAAGTTGAAGGTGTTTTTGGATTGCAACATTCACAAGTTGATGTTGAAGTAGTCCAGGAAGATGAAGATGAAGAGGAAGAGGAAGAGGAAGAGGAAGAGGAAGAAGAAGAAGAAGAAGAAGAAGAAGAAGAAGAAGAGGAAGAGGATGAGGACGAGGAAGAGGAAGAGGGAGAGGGAGAAGATGAAGATGAATAGGATTCATGAAGTTAAGAAATTGTTCTTTATGAGTTAATTTTTATATTGCATATTATGTATGACGTTATTCCTTCGCATAATTGACTATATAAATTTCTTATGTACAGATATGTCATTAGGAGGATGTGACTCACCCCAACCTCCCATGTCTCATCCCAAAAAGGGGAAAAAAGTAACGAAACGAAAAAAACCACGCTATATACTTAAAATAAATGTCCCTCCCCCACCTATAGCTCCTACACCTATACCTTCTTCATCTGTAGGTGCTGAGAATATACATGCCCATACAAATAATATTACACCTACAACCACTTCTGCCCCATCCCCAGTTGATGCACCCAACCCTAGTCCATCACCTGTCATTGCATCAGCACCTTCCCCAGGAGCTACATTGCCTTCAGTATTATCAGTGCCTTCTAGAGTCCATCATACACTAGCTAGGGAAGACCAAGAAGTGCATATTCAGGACGGTGACGCACAATCAGACATTGAGGAGGATCATCCACTTGGCACTAATCTTCCTATCATATCACCTTATGGTCTAGGGTAAGAATTAAGTTAAAATTATATTATTCCCATTATTTGCAAGTATTAGGAAATTGTGATTATTATTTAATTTAATTATTGGGCGAAGGTTTCATCCATGTCGGGTTGCATCACAAGCTATAACAATGACTATTAAGCAACAATATTCTAAGCCATGGTCGACATGGGGTTCAATGACCGATGTTGAAAAAGAGACATTCTTTCACTGGTTTAAAGTAAGTTTTCTTATATTTAGGTTGATGAATTTTTTTATTACTTACATTCATTGACACAATTATTATTATTTGTTTGTTTGTGTAAATCATTTGCAAAGAGAAAGGTCACCTGGAGACCCGAAGATGAGGACAGGATTCGAAAGAATTTTCACTCAAAGGCCTCACATAGGCTATCCGAAATGTTCAAAGAGGCTAGAAGGACAGAAAAGAAGCCCTATTGGATATTTGATGATGTGTGGAAGACTCTGTTGAACAAGTGGAACTCAACTCATTATCGTGCAAAGTGTGCACAAGCTCAAAAGAATCGAGCTTCTGAGATGGGTGGTATTTTACACACAGGTGGTTCTATTAATATGTATGATCACGCCATTCGTATGGTAAATATGCAATTATAACAAAAGTTTCTTTCTTTCTTTCATTTCTTATGATATGTTATTAATTATTTTTTTTTTGCAGCAAAAGGAGTTGGGTCGTCCTGCACATATTGATGAGGTTTTCAAACAGACTCATATACGAAAGGTTAATGGTGAATTTGTTGATGAAAGGTCTAGAAAAACTCATGTAAGTTGAGAACTTATTTAATATTACTCTCTTATATGTTATGATAGATACGTGTTGTATAACGTACATAATTTTTATTTGTATGTTAATAGGAAGAATTTCAGAGAAGATACACTCATGCTAGATCTGATGCAGCATCCTGTGTTGCTGAAACTGAGTCATCTCCATTAGATCCTATAGAGGAGGAGAGAATAAGGACTGAAAGTTGGATTCTTGCTGCAGGTGGCAACAAAAAAGGTCGGATCTATGGTGTTGGAGAACTTGCCCATAATTTTAGGCCTGGAGATACCCTCTCATATTCAGGATCTATTGATTCTCGTGACATTACGCAATTAAAGGAACAAGTGCTTAGTTATAGGGAGGATAATGAAAGATTGAGCCGCCAATTACAAACACTTGTCAGTGTTGTCCTTCCTTTACTTCCACCCGATGCCCGACAAGTATTTCAACAACAACCTTCCGAACAAGGATCACAACAATAATCACAAGAGCAGCAAGAGCAGCAACAACAACAATCACAACATCAACCAGCTTTCGCAGAGCAGCCTCAAAATGAACAAGGACATTAATCAGATTATTAAGACACTCAAACAATATTGTCATAATATTTATTATAATACTTCTTTGGATTTATATGTTCTTAAATATTTTGAATGACTATTTGATGCATGCTAATATTAGGATTTGTGTTTGATATTTAAATATGCACTTGGTGCATATCAATATTATGAAATATTGTTAAATTTGATATCTAAATACTTTGTGTGTAATATGTATGTAATTAACAGATAAAATTTAGTTAAATAATTGGTGGTGATAAAATTTTATAATGAATGTGGTAATTACCTACGGATTTTATCCATAGGTAATTATCTACGGATTCTGTTCGTAGGTAATTACCTACGGAATACAATCCGTAGGTAATTACCTACGGATTACAATCCGTAGGTAATTATCTACGGATTCTGTTCGTAGGTAATTACCCACGGATTATAATCCGTAGGTAGTTATCTACGGATTCTGTTCGTAGGTAATTAGCTACGGATTACAATCCGTAGGTAATTACCCACGGATGACATTACCTACGGACAATAATTCCGTAGGTAATTACCTATGACCATATTACATACGGATTTTCTACGGAAAAAAATTCGTAGATAAAATGACATTATGTACGGATTTTTACCATTACCTACGGATTTTTGCCGTAGATAATCAACTTTTTTTTTGTAGTGTGAATTGGTGGCTCTGTTAGTTGAATAAGATCTTGGTTTATTAAGGTGTTTTGTACCGTTATTTCTGTTTAGTTTGGCTTGAATCTGTGGTTTTCACTTGGTGAGGTTGAGACTGGTGTTATCCAAGTCCTATTGGCTTGGTTGATGTCTCTGTGGCTTAGCTTCTTGGTGGGTGAGTTAAGAATGTGTTTCCACCTTACAAATGCTTCATAATCATGACCCCAAAAAACTTACATTATGGCCATATAAAATCCATTTAGGATTAGTTTTAGCAGTAAAACTTACATTATGTAAGCTGATTCAGTATGAATTTGTTATGATGAAGATAATATTTTCATAATGTTCTATTAGTATGTTGCTGATTAAGAATCATCAATGTTGAAAAAGTATGAATTTGTTATGATGAAGATATTCTGTTTTCCTAATTCATCAAACCATCTGCTTCAAACTGCTGTTGAAAAATTCTTATAACTGCACACCGTAGTAAGTTAGCTAATGATTAAGTTAATGTGAAAAGGCCAAGTTAAAATGATTGGAAGATCAATCCTAGGTTCGGACAAGATGAACATTTTGATGGAACTTTTCATAGTAAAACGTTGCTGGGTAAATGCATATTGCATGTTTATATTTTCCAAAAGAATGGAAACCAAACTTCTCCACCAGTTTTGTTCGCAATTGAATATTCTCAGTGGTTGAGAGCGTTTTCCTGCGATCAAAAGTAGGTGAAAAATGAAACCTTGGAAAGTAAAAACAAGTATACATTATGATTAGAATATCTCAGAAAGTGTAGAAATTTCCTTGGACAAGAACAACCATTGAAAAAGCATAAAAGCAATTGAAAGTGTGAAATTGCTTGTCCATGCTGGCTAAGATTAAGGAGATAGAAAGGTGTGAACTGTGAGAATGATACAAAGAAAAATGCAGATCTATTTAATACATTCAGAGAAAAATGAATATATAATATAAGCTAATGGTAAGAAAGTGTTTATGTGGGGACCATCAAAATGAATCCATAACTAGTCCTGTAATTTAGGAGATTTTCTAGCTGTAACACTCCTTCGTTCACCCTCAAAGTAACACAACCTCCCTTCAATTATTATTAGATCAGGAGTGGATTCTCAGGCATGAGCATTATTTGTTTTATAAAGGATTTGATATCTCTACAAATAGTAATCGCATTGAATTCTTTGTCGTCATCTTCACTCTCTCTGTCAACTACGTTGTTGTTATACTCTGTGAAGATGATTGTTAGAGTGAGTAATTAACACATCCAAACAATGTACCCTTTTAAGTTATACCCCTAATCTTATGAGCATATTTGACAAATTTAGGTCCAGTTGGATTCTTCTAGAGCGAGCACAAACAAATGGAAGATATACACATCATACATAATATACAACACAATGTTCATTATCTTATGACAGAACAATCACCTAACTTTTTCTTCAATAATGCTAAACTGCGAACAGGATAATGTTAAGCAGTGGAATAAAAAAGTCATTTTGCGCAATTGGTATGAGATATATGTAGATCAATTTATCAGTTCAATCCAATTATGAGTGATTTTTTTTTTCTTTTTGCGACACATAATTTAGAGATTTTAAAAAATTGACAACATTTTCGAGTTAGTAGATAAAAAGTAAAGAACTTTGGTTGCCTAGATGAAGAAGAAAATGATTGTTGAGTGATGGAGCCTATGGGTGAGGAGGAATGAGCAACCAACCTTTCAGCTGTTTGAAGAGCAAACAACATATAAAAACCTGCTTTGCACAATTTATTGGGTTATTGTTACTTCAAAAAGTATATTAGTAGTAAGTCAGCTTGAGCAACAGGATAAAAAATTGTTCTTGTTAATTTCTGACATGGCTGTACTGCACTCTAAAAATGGGAATACTACATTGAAATGAACCAAATCAAGCAGTAATGCAGATTGTTTAATTTCGATGTTCTAAAAGAACTGCAAACGTTCTATATTCACATAAGTTGTGATTCTATTTTCACATTTGTAATGCAATCCGAGACAAGAGTATGATGTTATTCAAGTTGAGCAGAGTATCATGCATTTCGAACAAACATACCAAAAACCTGTTTGATTAAGGATTCAATAACCTCGACACCCTTACAATATATATATATATATATATATATATATATATATATATAGAGAGAGAGAGAGAGAGAGAGAGAGAGGTATAGAGATGTATAAATGTGGGTCATTGTGAATTTTTTTCAATATTAAAATTCGTTCAATGGTCATATGTTCACTAAAAAAAGTTAGATGCTTCTTTCTTTTTATCTTGATTATTTAAATATGTATAATTTTCAAGTCTCACAGTAAGTATTCTCATTTAATACACATTGAATTTACTGGTTTGTGCTTGAAAATCATGTTTTGGAGAGCTCTAAAATCATGACCCCAAAAAAAACTATAATTATGAACTACTTACCACAAGTCTAGACTATAATTAATGTTATTGTTTCTGATTGGGATCTGTTGAATGTTGATTAGCGTGGTTGTACCCAAGTTGAGGTTTGTGTTCCAGTTTGGTTTTATTCCATTTATTTGATTGTGGGTGTGCTTAGATTTGGATATGTTGGTTGTTTCTGATGGGGGTTTGGTTTAAATGGGGTTTGTTGAGTTTCTTAGTTGTGATGGATACTGTTTGTACTGAGATGGTGTTTTGCCTTGTACCTGGTAATGTACGTATTATGTCATTATGCTGCTAAATTTTCATTCAAAGCCTAATGTTGATGTGCAGACGATCTAGTCTCTTAATATGTTGTGATTGTCTCAAGTTTTCATTATGTTATTATTCAGTTGTTTGGATTGTGTGGTTGATTACCATGAGGCTATTAGTATGGTTTGCATTTGAACGTGTCGTGTAATTTCATATGGGGAAGCTTCATAAAAGATAGAAGGATAAAGGGAAGGAAGTGACTCCTCATCCAATTTGAAGATCTTTGTTAGTAG